GGCTGGACGGATTCCCTCCCACAAAACCGTGAGTACGGAGCCGTGGGCAACGTGGATGATCTGACCCCGAGGCGCAGGCCTCGACGGATCTTCGGATGTCCATAAGCAGAGCTCTCTATCGTCATACCACGTATGCGGCAGGATTTGGTCTAGGAACGCATCGACATCGATTTGCACAGGCTGTGTGGACGCGTGGTAATGTCCACCGACTCGCGACAGATCGACAATGACAGCTGCTTGGTGCCTTCTGTCGTCCTCGGCGGAATGCAGCACAAAGTCAGCATATCCGTTATGACGCTGTTGGCTGACAGGTGTGGCGAAGTGCAGGCCCGGGCGGGAAAATGAAGTCTCCGATAGAACTGCTGTCGTGATGTCGGCTGGACACACCGGGGGCACAAATGGCAGAGCGAGACAGAGAGGTTGAAAGCCGGGGGCATACGCAGTGACCCCTAGGAGCTCCTCGACATCATCGTCGCAAGCAACATCACATTGCCGGCTGGCAACTGCAACGGGGGTGTCGACAACAGCTTCTGACAGTGTAGTGCTGGGGATCCCGCTGCATCTTTCCGGAGGCCCAATAGGTTCCGGTTGTCTGAGTGCGATCTCCTCCAGGGTACTGATAGCTTCGCTGAAGTCTGGGGGTGCTGTCCAAACACAAATTGGGAGACTCCATGTCAATGCAATGAAAAGCCTTGCAGGGGCTCGGCAGGTTGGGTGCTGGCAATGGTGGCTTCGGCTTCTGGCAGCTCGTGTGCAAGTGTGCCTCGAGGACCGTTTCGGTCCTGTTTGACAAACAGCAAAGTCTGCAACACACAGAACAATGCTGTCGAAGTTGCCAGCATAAAGTAGCCTCCTCAGAGGGGAACTGCATTTGCACCTCGGCACCCCTCGGAACAAAAATGCGCACAGCGCGGCCAAAATAATACCCGCGAGGCTCCGGCTGATAGCGCACAGCGCGCTCGCTGCAAGTTCAATGAACGATCGCCACATGCACGGATCGAGCTGAAAGTCACCAGTGGGCGTCCCCGAGCCACCGATACGCCTCTTTGGCACTGGTCGGACTTTCGCCTGACGATCCTGGACATGGACAGATATTGATCTTCCCTGGCACAAAACCTCCTGAGAGAGAACATAGGGCGCGCACTGACAGTGCTTGACAATGTGTGTAGCAGCACGGTGCTGCACTGTCCTGTGGTTAGTGTCCGGCACGACACAAGCAGGCGGGGCTAGGGTCAGGATAACACCAAGAAAGTGTTTCCTGCCACCAGCAGAGGAAGACACAGGTTCGCCTGTCGTCTCGCCAAAAACCCAATGGCAAGCGGCAGACCAACCTGTTTGGCAACTGGTGGGTTGGCAAGTGGGGCCGTGCGTGCTGACCTTGAAAAGCAGAGTGCCACAGCCGAAACAACCTGAACTAAGCAGAAGGTGAGACCGTTGGGAACACATTCGCTCGTCACAACTCTGCTGAGCAAGCAATCCTTGCCCGACACGGGACAAGTTGTGAGGCAGAGCAGTGTGCTCTGCACACACAGCAGGCCGTACCAGGCGGAGTACTTTATCAGCAAAGTTGCAAACTCGTAAGGTCCCCAACCTAGCAACGCTCAGTCCATTCCGCCAGGATCTTGGATGGTCGCCGTCCGAGAGAGCTCGTCTTCCTCGTCGTCGTTCACCAATCTGGGGCCTCCCGGTGCAGCAGGTCCTTGTGCTGGGCCATCCGGGGCAGCAACTGTTCTGATACCAAAGGCCTTGAGCGCACGAGTAGCTGCCAACTTGCCCTCGAGAGTGGGGTTGGCCTCCGCTCCCTTGGGTTGCAGCACAGCAGGTGGGCCCTTGGCATGCTCGTACGGGTTCACTCTCGGGGATGTCGATGGCTTCCGGTATGCTCCGCTTGGGGACGCCTTGTATGGGTCCAGCGGGCCTGTCCCCACATAGGAACCATCTCCCTGCAGAGTCTGTCCTGTCGATTCCAGCCCCGGCGGAGGTGCAGCTGTCGTCGGTGGTGCTCCCAAGTGTTTGCCAGGCGCCGTCTCGGGTGCAGGAGGTCCGTGCCGCTCCCTGGCCAGCTCGGCAGGCACAGCCGAGGGCTTGTGCGTTTGGCCTTGCTGGGCTGCACTCAGGGCCTCCTGCAAGAAGCCATTTCGCACTGGCTCCTCTCTTTCGGATCGCATCATCGCATCCCATGCAGCATTCTCTGTGTCCATGGGGTCGTCCTTCTCGATGCGTCCTCGCAGCACGACCTCCTTCACTTTCTGAGCAGCCTGCTGTCCATGCTCCGCTGCCTCCTGGGCCTCTTGCGCTATACGCTGTAAGTCCGCCTCGAAAGCTCGCCGTTGGCGTGCGAACTTTTGCTTCATCTGCTGCTCGTACACCTCCCAGTGCTTGGACTTCTTGTCCTGCTCCTCCTTGAGCTTCCGTAGCCTGGTATCGGCACGCTGTGCCTGCGAAAGATACTTCTGTATCTCTCGTAGTGCTGGAGGCGCCTGGGATGACTCCGCATCGCTCATAAAGAAGCTCAGGCTGGGAGTGGGCTGTGCTCTCTCTTCTGGCAGGGGAACAGCATCGTAGCGCTCCTGTTGCTTGGCTCCCTTCGGCGAAGACCACGAACCACGCCAGTAGTCCCAAGACTTGTCTCCTTTTGGCTGTCGTGGTGTCTTGTAATCCTGGTAGCTTTCCTCTGCCGCCTCGCGCTTCCATGGTGGTTGTCGTCCTCCACGTCCCATCAACTCGGCGTAGCGAGGCTTGGAGTGGTGGGTCGCCAGGAATCTGGCGGCTTTCAAGGGACCAGGACGCCCCTGACTTCTGGCCTTCCAGATTTTTTGACGTGCGAGTGCACGACGTTTCCGCTGGCGTCTATGCCAGGGGGGCGATGTCGGAATGGCGAGGCGAGGGCCTTGTCGTGTGAAGCTGCACACTGGGGTCTCAGGCAATACTGGCCTCCTGTCGGCCGTTCGATCCCGAACCCTAGTCCCTATATAGGTACTTTAAGGCCTAAGTATCTACTATAAGGGTACATGGAGCCTTAGGGGTTTTAGAGGTGAGGCTTCAGAATTTTGGATCTAAGAGCTGAGAGTTTAGGGGATAGGCCTCTTAAGAAGGGGGCTTGGGAGTCGATCCTTCTGGGGGAAGGTGTAGCTTCCAAGGGTAATATATATATATATATATAATATTATTGTTTTTTTTTTTGGGGGGGGGGTGCTTCAGGGCTTGTAGACGGATTGAAGGTTTTAAGCTCCGGGTCGAGGATCTGGGTCGATCCAAGGCTTAGGGTCTAGGGGTTGAGGGGTTTAGGGGTTTAGGGGTTGAGGGGTTTAGGGTTTAGAGTTTTAGGGCTTATGAGGAGTTTCCGAAAATTCAGGGTACCTTATTTTGGGGTCCCGATAATCAGGATTCCTACTTAGGGTACTACATCAGGGTCCCCTGTTTTCGGAAACTCCCATTTGGGAGTTTGGGCTTAGTGCTTTGTAGTGTGGGGCGTCGGGGGTTTTAAAGGAATCAGGGTGTCAGGATTTAAGACCTCATGGGCTAGAGTTAGAGGAAAACAGCTTTGAGTAGGTTTGGGATGCACGCATTTCGGAATTTGCCCCTAATTCTTTAAAATTGTGCACTTCAGCTAATCCAGAAACTTGTCCATCAGTAAGTTTCAGAGAGGCGCGGGGGCTTTTCGAATTTGGGCTTCAGGATCCAACATTGCATCAGTGAATAGGATCCCTGGTTAACCGTAAAACCAAAAAGGGAACAAGAATGGAGACAATTGGCAGGGTCGAGTCTTCCGTTCATGGTTCATCAGAGATTGGGATTTTGGGATGAATCGCCGAAATCTGCAAGCCATGGATGCATCTTGGCCATACGGGATCGCAATCAGGTTGACAGCCGGATCCGACTTCGCTGTTCTAGCTAGTCTTGCCGTTTGCGCGCGTGGGGAGCTAGGCCCATTGTCGGCACGACGATTGCCATTGAAAGCCACAGGCAAGCAGAAACGGCTACTTCCCATCTCAATGTCGACAGGCGAAACAGCCAAAGTCCTAAACCCTCACCCCTGAACCTGGCAACTAAATCCTAAACCCTAAACCGAAACTCTAAACCCTAAGTAACATCCTAACAGGCCCAAACAATGAGCCATAAGCTATTAGAACAGGACTTTGGGGCCCATTATGCAATATTTATAACAAGGAACCCCCAAAACAGTATTGGTAATTATTTCGGCCCCTATAGTAAGCTATAAACCACATACCCTCCCTAAACCCTAAATCCTAAACCCCAAACCCTAAACCGCTAAGCCATAAACAACAAACCCTGAAACCAAAAAACCATTGGGTTGAAGGGTTACTATAGGGCTCCTCCTGTAATGGACTCCCTTTTAAGGCTTAGTAAAGGGCTCCTTTAAGGGGTTCCTATAAGGGATCTATAAGAAGGGTTTGAACTCAAGCCCTTCAACTCAGGGCTCGGGGTTTAGGACTCAATTGCTACGGTTGATGATATAAATCCTGGGGGGTTCCTTTAAAGGGATCTATAAGGGTACCTTTAAGGGGCTCCTATGTAAGGGGTCTATAGGGTTTAGGGTTTAGGATATAAATCCTGCATTACCCATAATAAGGAATATACCATAAATCCCATAGTCTAGGGTCCTTAAGGTAATGCAGGATTTAATCATCAACAGTAGGGCTGCAGGGCCGTAGGGCTTTATTTAGGCTCCGAGCTTCAGAGCAAGAGGGTTTGAGGTTTTAGGGTCCTGGGGTTAAGTTTCGGGTCCTAGGGTCTTAGGTCTTAAGGGTTTTAGCTTTAGGGTTTCGGGAGAATGAAAGGGTTCCCTCAACCTGTCTGCTCGCCAGTCCGATGCTGAACGGTGGCAAGGGAGCCAGGGGCGGCCGTACTAGCATTTAACAATGATTTTGGGTACATTTCGGGAAATCAGTGTTTCAGAACCCTTTGCTTTGTTTTTTTTAATCGTGGTTTTCTCCCTTTAATTCAAGGCCCTGAACCCTCAGCTGCTGCAGAGTGGCTGTGTCGCCGGGTCGCCTCTCTCATGCAGCTCAACACCAAAGTACCTCAGGGACGTTACTCCAGGGATCCTTCGACTTAGTAAGTAAGGGTATAGGTACCCTATTGGGGCTATATGTAGTCACATAAGTCTAGCTGATTACGAAGCCCAATGGCCCTTTAAGTGCTAGTAAGGGTTAATAACTTTTGACGAGGCTTCCTTTAAAGGGTTCCTTTACGGAAGGCTTCCTTTACGGGTTCTACGAAGAGGGTTTCAAAGGGTGTTCCGGTTCAGTAAACACACCGTAACAGATCGAATATGGTTTCAGGGACATAACAGACAAAACTACGGGATGGTGATAGTATCCTCATGATTAATGATATTCTTATCATCATTACTAATACGGTTGATGATATAAATCTTGCACTACCCATAATTAGGAATAAGCCATAAATCCCATAGTCTAGGGTCCTTAAAGTAATGCAGGATTGATATCATCAACAGTACCAGGGCTTTAAACCTCAAAGCTCAGGGTCTTACGCCTACGTTTTGGGGTTAAGAAGGCTCTCTGGGTTCGAGTATAGGGTTTAGGGGCTGAGAGCCGTGGAATCGATATATGCGGAAAAGTTCTCTGAGCCAGGATGCTGCGAATATCAAGAGCTGCATGATTGTTGGCAGATTTGAACACAATTCTGTGAGGACTCTAAGGGGATACTACTGTACGCTATATGCGAGTTAGTCATACCCTATCTTCCCCATCTCCTACTAGTAATTAGTCAAGACCTCGACACTATTTATCGGAAGTCGGAGCCCAAGCAGCATGAGCCCTCAGAATCCGGATCCTCAAACCTGACCACTGCATCCCAATTCTAAACTGCGAAGTCCTAAACCAACCCTAAGACTCCATGTGCCCATATAGTAGGTACTTAGGCCTTAAAGGGGTCCCTATATGGGTACTTGAAGGCCTGACTAGCGACTATGTGGGTACATGGAGCCTTTGGGCAGCAGCCCAAGGCCCTAAATCACAGCCCCTACGCCATGCACGGTCTGTGCGCCGTGCGTGACGCGGGTGCCACGCCAAAGCAAGGAGGCCGACACCTCGCGCTAGCGATGGGGGGCTTGAGGACGGGTTTGGGGGCTAGGGCTTATGGGGCTCAGGGCTCGCAGAGTCCGCGAATAAGAAAAAATTGGTCGCAAAGAACAACATTGCACATGAGGGTCTAGGTAGGTTGGGCCCTTAAAGGGGACCCTTAGCCTATAATGGGCTATATAATAGCTATATATTAAGGGTATATTACCTAGGGGTCCTTATTAAGGGTCCGCTCCCCGGGATGGTGACCTCCTGCAGACTCTTGTCCAAAGCAAACTAACAGTGCGTTACGAAGAATCTAAGATCCTTACCATAAGACGAGCTAGCCCAACAAGGCGAACGTTTTGGGGTCTAGGTTAGGTACGGCGCCCATACAGTAAGAGACTATACTAGGGCTACTATTAAGGTCCTACTATATCTATATTATGAGTATTATTCAACTATTGCTGAGTGGGTGCCGTACCCAAGGTCTATAGGTCCATCCTTACGCCCCGACCCCCGAATCTGAAATTACAAAGGTTCGGAGGATGCCCCAGGCCGCGAACCTTCGAATCCACCCCACAACTGAGGGCTCAGGGTTTTGGGTCCTACCCCCAAGGGCCCGAGTACCCAATAATCATATACTCCCCAAAATCCTAACCTACGTAACTACTATCCTGAAACCGAGTACCTGATCATTGGGTCGTTTCGGACCCTTGGGACACCTCCTTCATCTGCAAGTACCTAACAATTACAGGTGGACTCCTGGACCGCCCGGAAAACTCAACATGGAAGCGCATGCAGCGACTGCAAGATAGCTGGAACGTCGCATCCTTGGTGCCCTCATCAAGGAAAAGTAGTTCAGGAAACCTCAATACTGATTATCACTTAGCAATGTTCAACCGTGTATGGACTTCACTGTATAACCTTCTGTGTGAAAAGGCGTACTGTCTGTTTCTGCGTTATGCGGATATCATACTGAAAAAAACACTTCAGGCTTAAGCCAAAGCAACCCTAAACCAATCGAATTTGGACAGTCGACGCCATCCCAGAATCAATCAAGACAAGGCAGGCAGTTCGGCAAAGTCAGGGGCGCGAACAAGCTCTCTTGATTCTCGGGCATTGCGCTCCCATCTCAAGACTCAATCGCCCAAAGGACTCATTATACCCTAAAGCAATGTACCTATACAACATGATAAAAGCGTAAAACCACATATGTGTCTGTATAGTATATACGGGACTGTTTAAACAATCGCTAAGCATCCACGAAGTAGGTACGGTACTACAAGCAGATCCCTGAAGGGGCTTCCAATAAGTACCCTTGCGGTTTAAGGTTTAGGGTTTAGGGGGGTTAGGGTGAAGGGCTTAGGGTTTAAGTTGCCGAATTGCGGGATCTACCTCGAGAGTCTGGAACTCCAGGTATGACGTCTGTTGCCAGAACCCTCCTTGTACCCTCAAATAGGGGTATATGGTCCCAAATAAAGGGTATTTAGGGTCTAATAGAGGGTAGATGGAGGGTCTAGGTGTAATTGGCGTGTACTGTGTGGGCTGGTTCTTTGGCACCTTAAAAACATGGCATTTCTTGCGTTGATGGCAGTTCCACATAAGACACTTCCGCTAGCATGAGCTTGAATACTTAGAACAGGCTCCATGATTTTGATGAGGAGCCCCCAAGCAATATAAACATGAAGAATGGTGCTGCTATCATACTTACTTATCGGCGATGATAGTGAAGAACCCAAAGGCGTAGAGGTATGATGCGCTCTATACATATATTGACGTATTTTCGTGTCCAGTTATGTAGAAGGCTAAAATATGTCAAAAGCAAGGGGTAGTAAGTAATCAGTTATACTACTACCCCTTGCTTTTGACGTATTTTAGTCTACTACATAACTGATTACTTACTAAAGTATTCATAATACGTATTTTCATAAGGAGCCCGACGACTCGTGGGTGCCGGACCCAATTGGCAACGTTTCTGGAATCAGCCTGGGAGGGACAAAGCTTATGCTTGACAAGCTTCCTTGGAACTGATCCTAAGACCCCTAAAATGGACCCAAATCCCTGAACCGCGGATTATTCTTCGGTTTAGGGTTTTGGGAAATCTAGAGAATCTAAATGCTAGCCTTGGGGGTTATGCTGCTCCAGAGCGGTTTAGGTCAACCTCATGGACTTGCTGAGAATGATTGAGATTTTGCTCTGGGCTTCTGACTACCGGCATCGGACAAAATCACGGAATGGTCATGGCCCTGACGTCTGTCCCCATGTAAACGCAACACCAAAGAAGTCATAAGAAGTCAGCTTCCTCTGTGCCTCTGTGCTGTCCTTGTCTCTTCCCGTGGCTGCGGTTCAGCTGTTGATGTGAAGGTGCTCCACAGGTTCGTAAATGCGCACGTCAACCTGAATACGGTCATGTTCATCCACCATCCGTAAAAAATGTCCCTGAGCCCTATACCTATAAAGCTCAAACCAGCCTGCTGAGACTCTATGCTGATGCCTGGATTGTTAGAACGGCTCACTGAAGCCACAAAATCCTAAGCCCTAAGCCCGTAACTAACCCTAAGCCCTTATAAACCCTAAACCTTGTGCAACAACCTTGAAGGTTCTCAACATGGCCCCTCAAAGGAGTCCTGAACAGGATGACACTAAGTCCTTAAACCCTAAACCCCAAAACCCCAAACCCTGAAACCCTAAACCATCCTAAAACCTAAACTCCCAAAACCATGAAACCTTGAAGGAACCCCTGAACGGAAGCCTCCCACCAGTTCGCCGTGACGTTGGACAGCCGCGTGGACGAAAGCACAGCTTGCTCCCGGTACCTTGCGGAGTGGGGCTCTATAACTATACCCCCGATAGAGCCATAAGAAAAACAACTTTTCGAAGTTTCAGGAGTGGGGTTCCATATGGTTTAGGGTTTAGGGCTTAGGGTTTTAGAATTTAGGGTTTATGGTTCTATAAGGACTCCATAGGGTTTAGTTAAGGGATCTCGAATTTAGGTACACTTCAGGGTTTAGTGAATATGGCTTAAGCTTTGGGCCTCGAGTTTATGTACCCCTGCACAGCCCTACACTCTGCAACATGAAGCCCTACAGTTTATGATATAAACCCTGCATTACCCATAATAAGAAATATACGATAAATCCTATAGTTTAGGGTCCTTAAGGTTATGCAGGATTTATATCATCAACCGTAGTCGAACTCATGTTCAGCCCCTCCCTTCGTCTGCAACCTAACCTCCAGAACTTCACTCGAGAGCACAATACCCATCGGCTTAAGATTTCGGGTTTAGGGCTTAGGGCCCTGAGGAATCTTCAAAACCAGAACAAAACGTCCTGGAGGACCAATAAAGATCTCAGCGATGCCAGTCTAACCCCATACATTCAGCCCTAAAACTCTCACAACCTAGACGTTCAGAGTTTAGGGTTTGGGGTAGTTTACACCGAAGCTTCATGCAAAGTTTCTGCCCGCAAGCCTCAACCCCAAAGCCAATAGAAGTTCTTTCTGGCAAACCCACTACACAGCCTGCTACAAAATCCCATAAGAGCCACTAACAAGCATAAAACAGCTGCCCAACTCCTAAACTCCATCACAAAATCTGGAACCCTATACACTGAACGCTATAATGTAGGAACCTGATTAAGAAACCTTGGGCCTTTATTAGGGTTCTGTAAAGGTTCCTTTCAAGGGATCTATCGATAAGGGATCTATTAAGGGTCTAGGGTAGGAACCTGATTAAGAAACCTTGGGCCTTTATTAGGGTACCCTACTATTTTGGGGTTATAGGCCCAGGGTTTCTTAATCAGGTTCCTACATTAAACCCTCTTAAAGACTTCCATGGAGCCCCATGAACTGGCTTAGACCCAAACTCTGAATCCTTCTAGCTCGATCTCCCCTTCATCAACAGACCCTACTAAGACCCTGCATGAACCACTGTAAACATACAAAAACCAGTCCCTATAAGAGCCATAGCAAACTCAACCCCGAACCCTAAACCAAGACAAACCCGAATGTTCCTATTTGGAGGTTCATGGGCCTTTATAAGCGGGGCTATAAGTCCCCTAATAAGAGTTATAAGTATAGTCATCTTGCTTACAAACCCACGTATAACTACCTATGAACCTCCAAGTACTACATCCGAAACCCAAAACCCTAAGCCCTGGGCGGGAGGGTCCCTGAGTCTGAGACGACACTGCACCCGGAGTGCCGGAGTAGTGTTGCAGCCTTTGTATAAGGGTTCAGTGTTTAGGGGTCAGGGCCGTAGGACTTAGCGTAACGATTGGAATAAGGTTCTTCTGATTTCCGGAAATCTAGAAAGGAGTTTACCGGGGGTTTCAGCGTACATTTAGGGCTTGAGGCCCCTGCAAAGGTTCTACAAACAACTGTGCTCGGGGTTGGAAGGTACCTTTCCGGGTCCTGGCAATAGGATCCTAAATTCCTACCGTATAAAAAATGCCCGTTCATAGCATGATTATGACGATTATTGCAGATTTAATACAATCTTCTTTTTGGGGGATTTGATAGCCAGATTAAGGCATTTGGGGTATGTTTTTTTAACAGGGACAACAAGGGAAGACTGTGTTTTTCCATTATTCCGACCCCCACAGCACTATACTACACATGGATGAGAAAAGAAATTGAGGTTGCAGGGTCTGGGCATCAGGGTTCATGCTTTTAAGGTATAGGTTTCTGATAAACGCGGCAAGTTGGGACAAATGTTTGACTCACAATAATGCCGAATAAATCAGGTCGAGGAATCCATGCTTGAATCCGTCGCGTCGTACCAAAACCCAGTGCCTAGAAACAAGGCCCACTCATGAATTTCAGGTTTCTTTCTGTGATGCCGGATTTTCTCTACAACGCCTGATAAGGATTCTAGAGGTCTTTCGGTAGCGTACGGTAGACCCTAAACCCTATAAGTTCGATCTATCTTTGTTTACAGCCATCAGTTCCATTCTTTGGAGACCTGCCACGCCTGAGGCATGCTTTGACTCTATACACAAGATCACCGATGGAAACCCGATATTCTTAGTCGTCAAGTCGAAGGAGTGTAGACATTAACAGTAACATCTACAGACCCTAAAAGTACACTTTAATCGCACGGTTCTCAGTGATGCATCGCCATGAACACTTAAAAACTTTATGCAACCGCGATGAAGCCCGAAAGCAATTCACAGTGCCCTATAGGGCCATCGAGCCAACGTATTGAAACCCCGATCATTAAACCCTTCAAGAATCCCGCATGTAATCCGTAGAAAACCAAAAAACCCTCGCACAGCACTCACAAGAGGTCACAAGCCCCCGAACCCTATAAGGACCGAACTCTGCGAACCCTCAACCCCTAACCCCTAAATGTCTAATAAAGACCGAGTTTCCCCAAACCCTAAATACCCCAAATCCCCAAGCGCTCATTAATTCTGAACCCTTATACCCATGAAGCCCGAAACCCTACTTGGAGGTTCAGGGGTAGTTATGAGTAGGGTTATAAGTCCCCGTTGTAAGTATAGTTACCCTACTAATAACCCCAATTTTAAGTACCCATGAACCTCCAAGTAAACCCTAAACCCTAGACCCTAAAGGAACCCAAGATTTCAAGAGCCGGACCCGAGGCTCTGCGCAATCTGCCGGCTCGCCTTGGCTCGAAGCTTTCTTGGGGGCTTAGAGGTTTGCAGGTTTAGGGTTCAAGGGTTTCGGGTTCATTTAGGGTTTAGGATTTAGGGTTCAAGGGTTTAGGGGCTTTGGGGCTTTGGGGTGTTTTTGTTCAGAAATTTGGGTTTGGGGACGTTCAGTGTTTAGGATTCAAGGGTTTAGGGGTTTGGGGGTTTAGCGTGTTTTTGTTCAACGTGTGGGGCTTTGGGATGTTTAGTGTTTGGGGTTTAGGGGCTTTGGGGTTATGGGGAGTTTGGGGGGGGGGGGGGGGGATGCTTAGGGTTTGGAGTTTAGGGCTACTTGGAGGATCATGGGACTTAGTAAGGCTATTACCTTAATTGGGGCTGTACGAAATTGTCAGTATTGTATATATAGTATAGTATTGTATTGTATTCCTCATTCTTTCGGTTTGCCTAAAGAGTCCAAGTAGACAAACTGGTACCGACGTTGGGGTTTAATGTCCACGAATAGTGCCTGCTTTGGGCTATGGTTAGGGTGTAGGGTTGATGGTTTAGGGTTTGGGATTAGGGTTAGTGTTGAGGTCTGAGGCTGTAGTCTAGGGGTCAGCGGATGTGGTCGTTTGTTTTCCGATTGGGGTTCAGGGTTTCTTTACAGGGTAAATGCTGCGGCTGAAGGAATTTATGAAGGTTCGGCAAGGGACTTTTTCGGATCCTACCCGGCCTTCACAGGTGGTGTGTATTGCGGTGTTCAGACCCTACTGAAAGGATCGTGAGACGCAGTCATATATACTAGGGTCAAAAAGTTAACATGAAAATCTTAGATAAACTATACCAAACTACCTTAAACTCCCAAAGCCCTATCTTGTCGCAGGTTCTTCTTCTAAAGCCTAATATGGAATTTAGAGGGACCCTGCAGCAATTAAAGTATAATCTATTCCTTGTTCTAACATGAAAATCTTGACTAAACTATACAAAAGGGTTTAGGGGTTTAGGGGTTTAGGCGTTTAGGCGTTTACAGTAAAAGCCCAAAAGTTGGAAACCCCATCGCCTCGATCCTTAAGACTATAATGTATAGGGAATCCCAGCACTATTTGTCCTTAATCAGGTTTCCAACTTTTTGGGGTTTACTGTAGATCCTAAAACCCTAAACCCTATAGATCCCTTTAAAGGAACCCCTATAGATCCCTTTAAAGGAACCCCTATAGATCCCTTTAAAGGAACCCCTATACTGTAGGGTTTATAGGGTAGGGAATGATCTAGAAAAACGAAGGCCCCGGCCCTGCTTTTCGGCCCAGGGAGTCCCCGCAAACCGATGAGGTCTGCCCGCCGAAGCGCCTCCCCCGTGGATTCCGTGGGTTTAAGGAGGATTCCTAGGGTTTAGGGGTTTAGGTGTTTAGCTGCTTAAAGGGCTTTTAGGGTTTAGGGCCTAGTTTACGGGTTTAGGGTTTCCAGGGTGTAGCGTTCAGGGTTTAGGGACTTCAAGGCCCTCTTAACCCTGAGGGGTTCAAGGCTTTTAAGGGTTTAGGATTTAGGGTTTTAGGGCTTGCGGCTTTGGGATATAGGGCTTCAGGTCCTCCCGTGGATTTTTCAGGCTTAGGGGTTGTTTGTTGTGCTTAAAGGGCCCCTGGCTTATGGATTAGAGGGTTGGCGGTTCCGGACTAAGGGCTCACGGACGAGGCTTACTTAGAAGATCATGGGACTTAGTAAGTAGGTTATAATCGGGGTTATAAGTCCCCTAAGTGGGGTTATCCTAATTATATCCTACTTATAACCTTACTTACTAAGTCCCATGAGCCTTCAAGAAGGGGCTTCGGGATGATGGTTGGGTGTTCTGGGCTGAGGTTTTACGAGGTTGAGGGTTCAAGGTTGTACAGTTGCGCTATCGCACCATTGGCGAGGTGAGATCTTAGTGGCGTTTAAAGTTTAGAAGACAGCTTCAGAAGCTTCTGAGCAAGATTACATGCATCCTGTTTGGCTGATATCGTACATTGCATCATGTGGCTTTAGGGTTTTAGGGTGTGGGGCTTTTTAGGGTTTAGGGTTTGTCAAATGGGGTTGCTGGATCTCCTACTTTCAGCACGTTCGCTCTGGCAGTCACACGACCTGAAGCCGCTGCAGGCCGCAATCCTAAACCTCTCAAACCCTACTGTTGATGATATAAATCCTGCATTACCTTAAGGACCCTAGACTATGGGATTTATGGTATATATATATATATATATATGTATATATATATATATATATATTCCTTATTACGGTTAATGCAGGATTTATATCATCAACCGTCTCAAACCCTACGATCCTCTGCGCCTCCAGAAACCCCAAACCTAAAGCTGGAACCCCGCAGATGCCATCATAAAAAACCTTATGGAGCTTTAGGGTTCAGGGTTTAGGGTTTGGGGTTTAGGGTTCAGGGTTTAGGGTTGGGGGTTTAGGGGAACCACTACAGAGCCAGAGCTAGAAACCCCAAGCCCTGATAAAACGCCAGCCAAGCACCAGGAAACATGTTACCCTGAAGCCTCGAAGCCCTAATAATCCACCTCCAACCCTAAACCCCTCAACTCCGAAAAGCCCCAAAACCCCCCTTAAACCCCAAAACCCTCAAACCCTCAACTCCGAAAACCACTGAAACCCTAAAACCCTGAACCAAAAACCCTTTACCCGAAAACCCTAAACCCATCAATTCCGAAATAAAACAAAGAGAGCCTCCTCTAGGCACGCCGTGTCCCCCAGCTCCTGCAGATCTTCGCCGTAGCTTCGGGTTTAGGTGTTGAGGGCTTCGGGTTTAGGGCTTAGGGTTTGGAGTTTAGAGCTTCGGGCTTAGGGTTTTAAAGTTTGGAGTTTAGGGTTTCGCAATGGGGTTAGTAGGGTTTCGGGCTGAGGGTTTGGGGCTTGGGGTTTAGGATTCCTGGAAATCCTGGTGTCCTGCATCGGGCGTGAGGGCATTACGGTTCCGTCGCTCATGCTTTCTTGTAGTTTGACATGCGCATCCATGCGTGCATGCGTCGATGCATGGACACATGGACACATTGATACATGGATGCATGCATGTATGCATGTATGCATGTATGCATGTGTTCTTGTTATACTAGTGTGCAGGTCTTGCTTGTTGTTGTGCTTTTTCGTCCTTTATTCTGGGTCATTAGCTTTAAAGGACGTGGCCTGGATCAAACGGTTCGTAGCACGTTAAACAGTCAAAGACTTGATGCAAAGCCAACACGCATAAGTGGCATCGCATGTATGGAGCAAGCACATGAGCAAAACCCCAGCATCCACGCAAGGAGTACAGCTTGACTCTTGACTCATTCTCAGCATCAGCAGTCCCGTCCCATCCCAAATAAACCCACCCTAAAGCCTAAAACCTGAACAAGTCTAACCTCTCAACCTCAAGCAGAGTCAGACTACATGTGCCAACGGTCTATGTATGCATGTATGTATGTATGTATGCATGAATGAAGGTATGTATGCACAGCTGTTCAAATACCATTGTCATGCATATATGCATACATATATGTGTGTGGATAGATAGAATGACGATAGGTAGATAGACGGTAGGTAGGTAGGTGGGTAGGTATGTGGGTAGCTGGGTAGGCACTTAGACAGGTATGTATGTACATTTTCATACATGTACATGTAGACATATATATATATATGTCTACATATACATACGAATGTATGCATGTATGTATATACATATATATACACAGAAAATACATATACATATACATACATATATATATATATATATATGTACCATAGTAGACATTCGCATACATATATACATGCATGCATATACGGTAAAGAGTATGCATGTACACATCTACATGTAAGACTGACATAGTTACATGCATATGTACATGCATGTGCGCATTTGTATACGTATATATGTATACACATACACATATTTGGGTTTCTGCGATTGGGCAAAATCTGTAGCCGGTCATGCAGGCGCAGCACATCCTGCAAACGCCCCAGCAGCAGATTTCTTCCGCAATACAAATCCAGATCTTCCAAAATACCCTCATTGAGGAACACCCCCAGAGCAAATCAGGGATCCTACCATGATGCAGGTGTTAGGGACAACTGATCTCAAAACCCAGCACCAATCCGGACCTAAACCAACCCCGAAACCTGTAAACCGGAATACGGTAAACCGTACAACCCCCGAAATCCCAAGGCTCACAGACAAAGACAAGACACTGAACCCCGAGATCCCAAAACCCTCAGATACTGTTGATGATATACATCCTGCATTACCTTAGGGACCCTAGACTATGGGATTTATGGTATATTCCTTATTATGGGTAGTGCAGGATTTATATCATCAACCGTATGAGAGCCCTTCTGGTCTTTAGAAGAGATTCTTGGTCCTCACCGCGAAGGCCCCAAACCTGTAAAGCCCCATCCCAGGAAAGCCGCAGCGATCCTCGAAAGCTCGGAACTCAGCCAGGACCAAGGTGGAATCCGAGAAACTTGTCCCCTGTCCAATGGTGTCGTGTCTTTGGGTTTAGGGTGTCTCGGGCATGTTCAGGGCTTAGGGTTTAAAGGTTTGGGGTTTAGGGCTTCGGGTTTATGGGTTCAATGGTGTCGTGCCTTCGGGGTGTAAACGGGCTTGGAGATTTGGTGTTGGGTCACCCCGAAGGCCCTAAACCCTACACTACACCATGACTTGAACACCCGCAAACCCCGAAACCCCAAAGCCTTGAATCCCCAAACCTGAAACGATGAAGACCTGAGGGACTTCGAAAGGCCTGTAGCCCTAAACACTGTTCCTTTAGTAAGCCAATGCGGATGGGTATTAGAAAACTATTTGTTCGACAACTCTTGGATTTGCTATGTGGCAGCATGGCAAACATGACAAGTCTCACTGCACAAGGATTCAATGACAAGCAGCATCTGGTAGATGCCTTCTTTCAACATCGGGGTGGGTGGCTGCAGCAGTAACCCTAAACATCCTAAACCGTAAACCCTGGACCCTAGACCCTAAACCATGAACCCTTAAACCCTAATTCCTAACCCCTAAACCCTAAAGCCTAGTTTACAGAGCTAAACCCTAAACGCCTAAACCTCCTAAACACTAGCGGAACCAAGATTTCAAGACCCGATCCCTAAACTCTAACCCCAAACCCCTAAATCACAGCCTACTACGGTTGATGATTTAAATCGTGCATTACCTTAAGGATCTTAAACTATGGGAACGAAGATATATTCCTTACTATGGGTAATGCAGGCTTTAGATTATCAACCGTATGCTTAGAGGTAAGTTACCTGTAGAAGATGCGGCTGGCAAGCCATCTATCACGTCTCGCGGCCCGTAAGTAAGCAAGTCCTGGACATAACAACATGTTGAAACCGCAAGAATCCTACAGCAAATGCCCTAAGCCCAAAACCAGAAAACAAGAAAAAACAAAAAAAACTAAACCCTTGACCCCTAAACCCTGAAGCCCTAAGACTGCAAACCGTATCTCCAAATCGGGGTTCTTGTTGAGAAACTTAGTTTAATTATAAGTTAAAGCTACCATAAATAAGGGAACCATATCATTTACTATGAACCCCTATGGTAACTTGAGTTAAATGCCTCCACAAGAACCCAGAAACAGCCCCGCTGCGTGCCAGCATGGAGTCCGCCCGAAGGAGTGACAGAGCACCCGTACCAAAGCCCAAGGCCTCAGCTACAGGGGTTTAGGGTCTGGGGTATAGGGCGTTTAGGGTTTATGGGTTTAGGGTTTAGAGGTTTAGGGTTTAGGGATTGGGGGTTTAGAGGTTTAGGGTTTAGGGGGTTGGGGGTTTAGAGGTTTAGGGTTTAGGGGTTGGGGGTTTGGAGGTTTAGGGTTTAGAGGCTTCAGGTTTGGGGCAATGACTTCGGTCCGGTAAGGCTTCATTCAAGGGGGACCTCTTTAAGGGATGTTGAACTAAAAGGTTCCTTGTGGAATCTCTACAACCGTACATAAAAGGGTTGGTTCAAGCCTAAACCCTAAACCTGAAAGGGTCTTGGGGTTCCTTAGGGATGAGGTCCTTAGCGTTTCAGGGCTTCTGGGTTGCGGCTTTGGGGTGTAAGTGGTCATTACATGAAAGTTTCGTGCTGGGCGTCTTATTCCCGTTATTTCCCGCCTCGGGGCTGCGAAGAAACTCCATGAACCCCCAAAGGCCACCTTAGAGCTAGTTCCTATGGGGAGTGGTTGGATTTAGGGAGGCAGATATTAAAGGATTACGGTTCGGAGGAACCGACGATTTTGGGTCTGCGGCTTTGAGCATAACTGCAGGGTCTAGGACTTACGGCGGAAGGTTTAGACAAGTACACGTGCATGCCGCGTCTGGACTTAACTACGGGTCAGTATCAGTGGGCAAACTTGCACAAGGAACCTCATAACACAAGACAAGCAAGCACGAGCAACGAAAGCACACGGTGCCGTCGGCCGACTAAGGTTGTTGCTCTCCTCCATACTGCTGATGGACAAAATCCTGCAGTACCCATGACAAGGAATATGCCATAATTCCCATAGTTTAAAGTCCTAAGGGTCATGCAAGATTTTGTCCATCAGCAGTAGGAGCCTCTTGCTCCTCTTTCTTCTTGAAGAGACTGTCGATCGACTTGTCGTAGCAGTAGCAGCCTTCCTGCTTCGAGCAACATTACCCTGAGGGTCTATATATGCTACAATTATGGAATTAGATCCCATAAGGCCATCCCTACGATGGCTTTGGGAGCCTAATTTCATAATAGTAGTATACATGGACCCTCTTGGTAAAATACATGCAAATCTCGATCTCAGCGGCTGCCCAGTCGGACTTGCACGACGTACCAAAGCTCGCTACCAGGGGCTTCTCGGCCGCAATGCCACCTTTGTTCGGTGTCCGGCATAACAGCCGCAGGCAAATCGGCCCTGGACCTTCTCGAACTTGACGATGTAGAGTGCGATCTCGCCAGTGGACGTTGGGGCGTTGGGGCGACTGGGCACTGTTCTTGTTATCTATATGACTCTCTCGCTCTTTCTCGCTCTCACTCTCACTCTCACCCTCATTCTCACTCTCACACACTCACTCACTCACTCACTCACTCACTCACTCACTCTATCTCTCTCTCTCTCTCTCTCTCTCTCTCTCTCTCTCTCTCTCTTCATACATCCATTCATCCATACCTACATACGGGATGTACATGTACAGCATGTATATATATATATATATACACATGTATACACACATAAATTTTCATATGTAAATCCATATACGCACGCTCCGGCCCATTTTTGAGTATTCGTTCCATCTACCCTTCTACCTATCTGCTTGTCCCGCACATCCGTCCGATGTCGACGCTGCCGCGCAGCAAACTCCTCCCTCGCGTGAAACATCCGGAAATGCTCTGCGCATTCGAAACTGAACAACCCACATAAGGCCTGAAACCCGAACGAAACCACTATCACCCACACTCCGCAAAACCCTGCAGAACCCCAGATAAAAGTTCAAACCAAAAGCAGCACAGCAACTGAATCATGTATACTCCCCAAGCCCTGCATGAACTCGAAAAGCAACAGAATCGCGGTGCATTCCGAGCCGCCGCCGCCACCAAAAGCAGGCTCCCCACCGAGGTGAAGGCATTCGGTCTCAGAGCTCTCCGCTCACACCCGGAAAACTTACGGTTAAGGGTTTAGTGCGAAGTTGTCGGGTTTAAGCTTTTCAGTTTGGGGTTTAGGTTTGGGTTGACCAGACCCTGAGTGGCGCGCTTATGATCCCGAGTAGTAGGTAATATATTGGAGGGTCGCCGGGGGGTCTAGGTGGGGTTTATTCCTTAGTGTCTGGGTTCAGTGCTCCTCTTGCTTCTTGGTGCTGCCGGGAAGCAGGGGTAAGGTTTGGCGACTAACTCGGGTTTTGGGATTCTTCTGCTTTCCAGGTGTTTCATGGTGTCTCGGTTCAGAGCCTGGGCTTCGGTTTTAGGATTTCGGGTTTAGAGGTTTAGGGTTGTTGGGCTTGCGATTGAAACTGTTGGGCTTCAGCGTTTGCAGCTGTGATCTAAGCCCTGGATGCTCCATGTGACCACGTGAGTTGGCCCCTCAAACCCTAAACCCGAAAATATTGGGGCCATAATGGTTTAGAATAGGGTGTTGGGGCCCCTTATAGTGCATCGCCCAGTCGTGGGGTGGGGTGGGGTGGGGTGACGTGGAGTGGTGAGAAATTGGCACTATGTGCCGTGTTGGGGCTGGGGGGGGGGAGGGGTGGGGTGGGGCTGCATGAGGGGTGGGGTTGGGCTGCATGAGGGGTGGGGTGGGGATGTGGTGTGGGTGGGTGGGGGCGGTTGCTGGTGTAGGTCAGTGTAGGCCTTGTCCATGGTTTTTTTTTTCGAGCAACAGGGTTTAGCCGGGTCCAAAAAGGGGAAAGTCGACAGGGCGGGCTTGTCTCCTGCTATTGGAGCGAGCTTCCACATATGGGAGTTTCCGAAAATTGGGGGTACCTTCTTTGGGGTCATTATGATAAGGACCCTACTAACTACTTGGTGTCCCCTAAAGGACTGAGTATTATTTTTATGCTGAGGGTTTCCGTCTTAAAGGCGAACTTCGGTAGCGAAAAACCGTCTTAAACGTATTTTCGAAAATTCTGCTATATTTGCCATAGCTATGCAAAACCTAGGTTTTCGTTGTGGAAGCAGAACCCGGGGGGGGGGAAGCATAAAGAAAAGTCAGGCTCGCCCAAACAGGCAATGGAGCCCAGCCCCTCGCCCCCCTCCATCTGGCCCATGGAGCATAAGGGGGAGCAGGGGGGCAGCATAAAAAAGAGTCAGATTGGCATAAAGCTGACACCAGTCTCAAGCATAAAATGCAAAGGGGCAATGGGGCCCTGGCCTGCCCACCCTCCCAGCCGGCCCATCAAGCATAACCAGGAACGGGGGCCCCATAAAAAAAAGGTCAGATTGGCATACACATAGAAACCAGCAGCATACAAAGGAGAAAACTCAAGCATAAAAAGGAGACTCCATGCGCATAAGAACAAAGCCTATCGACGATGGGATGGAGACATTGAGGTCAATGGAGACGGGAAGGTGCACAGCATCAAAATAAAAACCCTCAGCAGAAAAATTCATACCAAGTCCTTTAGATTTTTTTGGAGCCCATTTCACCCAGCAATCCAGTCTGCCAGACAGGGTTAAGGGTTTGGGTTTAGAGATGACGTGTAGCATCTCAAACCAAAAACGTCACACCTTCAAACTCCCTGATACCGGCTCATCGGACAGCTTCAAGTTCAAACGACAGTGTACGCCTTTCGAAGTATCGACTCGGGGTGCGGGAAACCCTATATTAACAACTCAAGCTGTACCTGAACCTCGAAGAGCATACCTTTTGAAAGGGTCATAGGGGGAAATCATATAGGAACCTCAACAAGGAAGGATTTATAGGGTCCAGGTAGGTTTTTGCCCTGGCCACGGACACCCGGTGTGCGGGCCTCTTGAGGCTGCGGACCTGCTGATGGATAGGGGTTTTGGGTATTGGGTTTAGGGTTGGGGGTTTTGGGTATCAAGAGGCCAAAGTACCTGTAATTACGGGAGATGTTTGCCCAAACCATAATGGCAATTCCTACTGCTATAGAAACCATACCTACGTTCTACTCTATAGGTACTTAGTACCCTTGAGCCAAGATCCTGCATTGCATGGTGCTTGAATGGGGTCGGACCTACTTCGTCATCAGAGAGTTAGAGACACATACACAGACAGTGACCCTTAAACTTAGGGAACCAAGAAATATGTAAAGCCCTGCCCGAAGGCGGCATATGAAACGGTACTATACGGGGCGTGCATAGTTTATGAAGAGGCTGTCGATTGAATACTGTGTAGCTCCACTATATAATATACGCACTGGTTGATTCATATTCAAACCTCTATATTATGCCAACGCGTCCGTAGTACGTTATGAGATACTTGGCCCAAACCAGAATGGTATTTCCAACTATAGAGGCCCTACATTCTATTGTATAGGTACTTAGGAGCCTTTGGCTCGGGGTATCTTAAACCTTATATGCTTAAGCCTTGCAGCGGAACCCTACTCTAGAAGCCTAAAGTACCCTTCAACAGCAGCCCTAAACCCACCTAAACCGCGATATCGGAGCTTCCGAAAATCGGGGGATCCTAATATAGTACCCTAAATAGTAGGATCCTTATTTTCAGGACCCCGAAATACAGTACCCCTAAGTTTCGGAAACTCCCAATCTGTACAGCTGCTCATGCGAGTTCTCTTCAACCAGGAGAGCTCTCAACAAGAGATGCCAAAGTAATACAATGGCCTGATGAATTCGTAGTCCTATTCCTCAGGACTCCGTACATACTGATCGTCGGCCATCGTAACATACATCTCCCCATACACGATTCTTTGTTCATCGGGCCTGAATTTAACCCCCAAACCTATCGTTGAAACTTTAGCTGACACATGGAAACAATAACTGGAAACTCCAAGAAGCAGGTTTGTTCGGCTACATGTAACCTATACTGCCTTGAGAGGACCTGGCAGAATTCTTTGAGAATCATGGTAGCTCCGGCGTCGGAGTTGGCTGCATGACCGGGACTTTGGGCGGTGGCCGGGTGGGCTTTGGTGGCCTCGTTGGTAGCTCGTACCAGTTGGGGCCATCCTGCAGTGCCTTCGCAAAGCAAGACAAGAGAGTCGATCTTCGAGTGAGTCACAACCAGCTGGCCACGCTCGGTCTCAGAGTGGCACACGACGCTCACAAAGAGCCCAAGTCGGCGACGACTGAGGCATCCTCTAGCTTCTGGACTGAAGAGCAGGTGCTCAACCACAACCTGTGGTCAAATTCTTGCCAAGTCAGCTGACATCTGACTGCGGCCTCATGCTCGTCTAACCGCGCCAAGCATCCAGGGAAAACCCAACAAGTACCCCCGATCCTAGTCACCTTTGAATCACTGCCCTCACTCTAAACCCGAGAAGCCCTATAGACGGCAGACCCTCCCGAAACCCTAAAACCCCCAACACCTAAACCCTGAACCCCAAACCCTAAACCCACATCCCTCAACCGGGGCCTGTTGCTCTTCTGCATTGGAACCTCAGTTCTGGGAGGCTAGACGGTTTAGGATTTAGGGGTTAGAGTTAGGAGTGGGGTAACAAGCAAGGTAAATGTGGGGGTAGGGGTAGGCGTTAGGAAGTAAGGTAACTGTAACAATAACTCATATTAGGCGACTTACAACCCCACTTAGAGCTACCCATGAACCGCCGAGCTGAGAGTCAGCATGCAAGAGTTCCCTTGCGTTTTCTCCTGGGTTCCAAATTCGAACTACGGTTGATGATATAAATCCTGCACTACCCATAAAAAGGAATATACCATACATCCCATAGTCTAGGGCCCTTAAGGTACTGCAGGATTTATATCATCAACAGTAGGTTCTTTTTGCTTGAGCTCGTCTTCTGCGTAGCCCGGGTTAGGCTTTGGAGTTTAGGCTTCTAAATGGGAGTTTCCGAAAACACGGGATCCTGATATAGTAGCCTAGATAGTAGGATTCTTGCAATACAGGCCCCAAAATAAGGTACCCCTAATTTTCGGAAACTCCCAAACAGAATTTCTAAGGCTTGTACTTGAGCCCAGGACTCTCCCTAATTGTGACGTCCCAAATTAGTCTCCCTTGGCCTCAGAGTGCTTTTGGCAGGCAATAGATCACAATCAAAGGACTCCTAGAACCCTAAACCCTAACCCTAAACCCTTCACCCCTACACAAAGGTCTCCTAGATTTCTCTGAAAAGTCAAGTAGCCCAAAGCAGCTCCCAGAAGCCAACTAGCTGCAGCAAGCAAGGACAAGGCCCAGTCCTGAAAAGACGGAGCGCTAAGGCTTTAGGGGTGCGGTTTAGGGGTCAAGGGCTTAGGGTTTAAAGAGTTTAGGATTTGAGGTTTAGGGTTTAAGGTTTAGGGTTTACGAGGTAGGGTTAAGGGTTCAGGGGGTAGCTCCCCCAAATGCCCCTAGATCGAGCCTTACTTTGGTCCGGAAGGGTATGTTAGAGGGTACCTGGGGGTCTATGCCCTTCTGCACTCTTTTAGACCCATCTACCTTTATTTGAAGGTACAAGAGGGGTCCTGGATGGGATTCCAAGCTTGCCTTGTTGATTGTCTTGTCGGTTTAGGGCTGAGAGCTTATGGGGTTTAGGATTTAAGACTCAAGCAGGGTTTAGCTCTTGCTTTTGGGGTTCTATGCAACCAAAGCCACTGACCTTTCGAAGATCCCTCTCATCAGCTGTAGCCGACATATCCAGTAACTGTTCTATACACCCGGCAAAAAGACAGCCGACCATAAAACTAAATGATATACAAACTCAAAAAATCCGTACCTTCAGGGTTCAAGTACCCATATAACACGTGGATACTGGTTGAACAACATAAGCCCAAATACCCCTTGTCAGGGTACTTTGACCCTTACAGGTGCTATAAAACCTATACCCATCGACCCAAAGCCCCTGCAAAATCCCTCATAGCACCCTATCATTATCACTCAGCGGGTGCATATAATATAGGGGACTTAATAATTAGAATAAGGTTTTGGGGCCACTATACTATAACTATAATAAGGATATAATATAGGGGCCTTAATAATTAGAATAAGGTTTTGGGGCCCACTATACTATAACTAAAATAAGGAACACCCAAACTAATATAGGTAATTCTTTACGCCCCTATATCGGACCCCAAGGATGGCCATCCTCACCATGGCTTTTGAAAGCTAATTCCATAATTCTGGTATATATGTATATATGTATGTGTGTATATACACACATATATATATATACATATATATATATATATATGCTCGCTTCCTGAAAGTTCAAGCTGTCTCAAATAGACTAGATTTGTAAGGCCAAAAAGTTTAAAGTTCTTCCATTGGCTGTCTAAGTGCATATATATATATATGTGTATGATTCATATAATAATATTTGTCTGTGTATGGATCCTCTGGGTTAGGCGCTGTGGAGCCTCAGGGTACGATCCAGTCGTTCACGCAGCCTCAACCCTGAATGCCTAAATCCTGCATCTCTGAAGCCCCAAGGATACAAGTAGTCCCTATGAGGGCACCTTGAGGAATACGTGCTTACTATATATATATATATATATATATATATATGTATATACATATATATATATATAGGTACATGGCGCCTTAGGTTAGGGAAAGCATGGCAGTGAGACACGTTGCCTGAAATCGGTGGCCACGGGCTGTCGAGAAATCGGCCTCGACGTCAACAAGGCGAGGCTTTTGTTGAGAGGGGATTACGGTTGGGGTTTAGGGTTCCGGCCTTTTTGAGGTGTCGGACTTTTAAAGGCTTTTACATGGTTCACAACAGACATTCCATAAGGATCTTGAAGCGCGATGTATGGGTGTCTACGGTTCGCATGGGTCCTGAACAGGGGTTCGGGCCCATAGGGGTGAGCCTTCGGCGGTGTGGTTCGGGCCTGACGTCAGGGAGCCTAAACGGTGTATCTTACTATAAGACCATGAACATGGACCCCTGATAAACAGTATTGGTGATGTTGCAAGCAAGCACCTATGTCTCACTGACAGCACCATCTTGGAAAATGACTCAAGCTTAAACCCTCACGACATCGCAAGGACCACGCTGATCTCATCTAGCCCGCTTGCTTTCAATTTCTTTACGATCTAAGTTTGAGAGACCACAAACTTCTTCGAACAAGGAGATCCTTCTTGTAAGATCTCTACATCCTAAGCTTCAAACAGCCAAATTCGAGACCCTAAACTCTAAATCCGAAGCCGTGGGCCCGAAGCAAGGCTTGAGATCCTTGTTCTCTCTAGCTGGCGTCTCGTTTCACGTTCCTAGCGTCCCAAGAAGCCGATTTCGAAGACTGAGTGATGCAGCTGGACTTTGAAGTACAGTAACCAGGGAGAAAAAAGTATAGACCTTATTTTATAGTGGTTCCTTTGAGGAACAGATACCAAACAAAAGTATTCAAGTATGGTACTCCAAACCCAGGTGTAGGAATGTAGGGGTCTGAACAAGTAGAACAGGCCTGGAGGGGGCTCTGGTTCATTACCGTAAGTACAGTTTCGGCTTCGGGACTGTAGCAGGATAGATAGTACCATTGCTCCAAAATACCTCCCCTCCTCTCCATGTTCCTATGGTTCAGATTTCATTTGAATGGCCAGGATTTGCCGGGCCTTTGATTAGGGTTTCCGATGTCATTCGGAAAATAGGCTCCTATATAGGGGTTTAGGGCTGAATCAGGGTTTCAGCGTTTCAGGTTTTAGGGTTTCGTGCAGAAATCAGGCTCCTGCTTGGGAATCTGGTTTTGCTCTGTGCAGCCATTCGGCTGCTTGAGAGATGCCGGCTGGCTTCTGCGCAGCGGAGACGCTTTGGTGTCGAGCAACCCGGAGTAGCCGAGGAGGGTTTAGGGTTTAGGGTTGAGGGTTTAGGGTTTAGGGTTCAGGGTAAATCTACCACTTCTTGTTAGGGACATATTCCCTTTGAAAAGGTACACTGGTTTCTCTATAGGAATCCCAAAACCCGAAACCTGGGGTCGTAGTTGAAGGGCCTCGAAGCCTCCTCAGCGCCATGAGGGGAGGGTTTAGGGTTTAGGGTTTAGGGTTTAGGGTTTAGGGTTTAGGGTTTAGAGTCTTCCTTTCAAGGCGTCGCCTGGAACTCCCAAAGCGAAACCTGTAAACCGGATTAGGCTTTAGTCGCATCCCAACAATGTTCTACATGTCATGTGACGTAATTGAGTCATTTGTGGGTAACCCTACCCAAAGGCCCCAAAGTAGTTCCTTTTTGGGGTTCGTATATAGAACCCTATAAGGTAATCCCAAAAAGGAACTACTATGGGGCCTATGGGTAGTCCTTGCTTGTAGAAGGTAAACGAATTAAAAGGCCTACGACTGAAAGGGAACTCATGTTTACAAGGGTCGAGGTACGAGCTGGCTCCTGGCACCTTCAGTCCATCCCAGCTACTTGAGCAGTGATAGTTCGGTGTCCGGTGTTGAAGGGGCCGCAAGGGAAGGGAGTAAGAGGTGGTGTTGGCGACGACCATGATGGTGTTGGTTATGATGCTGCTGATGATGGTGATGATGATGGTGGTGGTGGTGGTGATGATGTCGAAATTGCTGCTGCGGAGCATGGTGAAATTGTTGGTAATGGTGACGAATGCAGTGATAGCTTTAAGTGGTGAGGGTGATAATCAGGATGGTCGTGCTGACGAGCTACTGCTCCTGCTGCTGCTTCGGGCGCTGATGCTGATAATAACCACGGTGATACTGTTGATGATATAAATCCGGCATTACCTTAAGGACCCTCAACTATGGGATTTATGGTCGATTTCTTGTTATGGGTAATGCAGGATGGGTATCATCAACCGTAGCTTTGAGGCTGTCAGCTTCACGGCGCCGTGAAAGTCTACAACCCCTTGAAGCGAACTTGGATCCGAAACTGGTTGGACCTTGCCTCAGGTCATGGTCTAACTTGAAGTAGAACTGATCTGGAGTTTCGAGGTGTTTTGTCAATATTCACAGCGTCATGAAAAGGACCCTGAGTGGATGCTATTGCTAGGTCTTCAGAGCGAGCAGGCTCGACACCAGAGATCCGCGCGGCAGCTTTTCAATCCTCCTTTCAAATATTCGTCATTCAAGCCTCCGAGCTCTGCTCCCGCACCGGGAAAAGGGCTGTGGCTTGAAGCCACTGCGGCTTCAAGGTTTCAGGCATTATGACATGATGACTAACATGACAACTGTTTTTGAGTTTTGCTTGTGGGTTTGCTCCCAGAGCTTCAGTGTTTGCAAGCGCTTTAGTCTTGAGTTCTGATGGTAGGCATCCTCGCAATTACTGCCCAATCCCTGGCTGAAACAGGCGTCGGAAGGCGAGGCAGCTTCCAACCCACGAAACCCAAAACCCTCTTCTGGGTTGTAGTTTTTGGACCCATAAGGCAAATTTCAAGGTTTCCCATAGTGCCACCTAACTAGTCAGGCCTGCATACGGATTCTATATCAGCGATCCTTGTCAAGGGCGCTACAACGGGATCACAGCACCTTCAGCTAATACCCTAGAGGCTTCACCCCTCCCAGGCCAAGCCACCAAAAACAAACGTTACTTCCAAAAGCGCCAAGCCCGAAAAACTGTTCTGCATTCCTTAGGTCACCCTAAACCCTAAACCCTAAACCTGAAGGCCTACACAATACTTTTGGTGCACAGCCATTAAAACTCTAGAACCTTGAAGCCTCAAACCCTATGCCGAACCCTTTAAGCCTTAGACCCATAAGTTCAAAGCCCACCACCCCATATGAAGGTGGTGGCTTCTAGGCAATTTAAGTTGACACTATTTCGGGTTTATACGGTTTTCGGCAATGTAACGTAGGAGCCGACATACTGCAGTTACCAATACTATTTTTGGGGGCGGGATTCTTTGTTATAGTTATAGTATAATTACACCACGAATAAGGCTTAGGGTTTATAGGGCTTTCTTAAAGCCCTTATGTTAAAAGGCTTAGGGTTTATAGGGTTTTCTGTAAGGTATAGAAGCAAAGCCCTCGCATGGCAAAAGCGGGGCCCTCCTGCGGCGGCAGCAGCCGAGGCTTCTCAAGGCTACGGGACTTTAGAAGCGGGTTTTGGTATAGTATACTGTACTTATTATAAGGATCCCCCAAAATACTATAGGTAGTTATTATGGTATAGCTTGGGGTACGGTTTTAGGGTTTCGGGGGGTTCAGGGTTTGGGGCTTAAGGGGTTTAGGGTTTTGGGCTGAAGGGGTTTTTTGGGGTTTATAGGGTTTTAGCGAGGGGTTTAGGGTTTGAAGGGTTTAGGGCTTGAAGGGTTTAAGGTTTAGGTCCTTTAGGGTTTATGGTAGAAGCCAGAAAGTTGGAACATTAGTATCCTCATGCCCCGAAAGTAAAGCAAAAGGGATCCTAGTACTAATCCTCCTAAAACCATGTTCCAACTTTCTGGCTTCTCCTGTAGGGGGTTTGTAGCTTCATCAGACCTTCCAAAACCCCTTAATTAAGGAATATACCTTAATTCATACTAAGGATTTTCATATGAATTAAGGTATATTCCTTCATTAAGGGATCTTGGAAGGTCTGGGTCATCAGGGTCTGTAGGGTGCGTACGTTTTTACAGCTTGGCGACGTCTTACCGGGCTTAGTGTTCATCTCCAATACCCCGGAAGCAAACCCCTTAATTAATGTTGCAAAAATGACTTAGTCAATAATCCGTTTTAAGAGTATGCCTTAAACGGTTGGCCATGAAGAACTAGTCAGCAAGTGGTACACAGACCTCACGGATAATGTAGACCCCCTGATGAGTGGACCCCCTTTCGTTCAGGGCCTTAATGTTCGGATTTCTATTGAAATCACCCTCAAGGTGAGGAGGGGGTGGTAGCTTCTTCAGGCGTCTGCATCGCAGTGCATAGAGTTGGGGACGTCAATAGCGATTCAGGCTTCGGCACTATGCCGAGATCGGGATGTCGGAAAATCTGGCTTTGGGCTACGAACAGTTGAATAACTAACTAAAAACTGAAACCCGCTAGACTAGCTTTAGAACCTACCTGTACCCCTTAACTTCCTGAATCCTACTAAAATAGCAGGCTATGACCCCTGAATTACAATGTGTAACTCTTAAAACAATAGGTTTTTGGCATCCCCCGGTATTTGAACCTCTCTGAGTCTCACCGGCTAAGACTAAGTCGGGCTCAGGTCTTGCACATGCCCTGGCAAACCTAGTTCTCGGAAAAACTGAAGCCTGCACGGTCGAAGCCCCAAAGCCCTTAACCCCGATCCCCTAAACCCGATATTGCGATATGGAGGTTTGCTGTAAGTGCAGGAGCTTCTTAAGCCTGTTGTAAACTGCAAACATGAAGCCGGAGAATGGATTCAAATAAAAACCCAAAAAAACCGTGAAAAAGATTTCGAGCTTTGTAGGGGTTGGGGTTTTTGCTTAAGCTTAACCTACCAATCCTCAGAGCATCAAGAACCTAAAGAGTAGCACAGTCTTGAAGATGTGGCTTCTTAGCCTCCGCAGCGTCTGGATTTCGGTCACGTCGCTCGTGGAAGTGACTAGAACTACGGCGCGTGATGCAGGGTTTTCAGGCTACACATGGGGGTTTAATGTAGACCTCTAATTAACACACTCCCTCTCCCTTAACGAGGAATACCTAATGTCTCTCCCTGGCTCTCTTACATACATACATACATACATACCTACATACGTACATACATACATAGATACATAGATACA